TTCCTCTGTCCCTCCCTTTCTTTCTCCTTCCCCTTCTCTTTCCTTTTTCCCTTTCCTTCTTTCTTTCTCTCCCTCCCTCCCTTCTCAAGCTTTCTAAGAAAGACAAAAGGACAAAAGAAAGAACAAAGAGGAAAACAAAATTTAAACTCTGGAAGGGTGACAGTTTCCTCTCTTGTTTTCCTCCCTTGCAGTCGATGGGCCTCCGATGGCCCGTTCCACGCACCTCTACGTCCCCCCAAAACACCCCACCAAGATCGGGTTTGATGAGGTGAGGGAAAGAACAACAAGCTGATTTGTCTGCACTGGGCAGCCGGGGTGGTGGGGGTGTTGGACTAGATGCCCTCTAAAGACCCTTTAGACAAATGTCTCATCACCCACCCACCACCCACCCCCTCGCCTCACAGGTGTTTCTCATCAACCTGGCTCGACGTGCAGACCGACGGCAACGCATGCTGGAGTCTCTCTTCGAGCTGGAAATCGCCCCCTCGGTGGTCGACGCCGTAGACGGAAGGTGGCTGATGGGTTGCGTTGTCTTTTCCCAATCCCGGGCTTTTGGGCCACCTTTCCCAGAGACCCACTTTAGAGTTTTGAATCCCAAGGCTAAAACCTTTTGTCCACGACAAAGCCTCCACTTTCAGGAGCAGTCTACCCGTAAAAAGAGTAGCTCGGGGCACCGATGCCTTCCCAATGTCTCCAAATCTCACAATTTTCTCTGATTTGGGCTAAATATGGATGTCTTTTCCCTCAATTCTTACTACAATATTTTGATTTATTTATTTTTTTCTTTCTTTTTCTCTGTCAGGTCCCTGAATAGCAGCAGCATCAAGAAACTCGGCGTGAACTTACTGGAAGGATATTATGACCCCTTTTCAGGAAGGACGCTGACCAAAGGAGAAGTTGGTTGTTTCCTCAGTCACCACCGTGTCTGGAAAGAGGTAAGATCCAGGTTTAAACTGGTTTGTCTTTCCTGGTTGAGACCGAGCACCATCCTTGGTCTTCCAGGCCATCCTGGTGACCAGGATGAAGAAGAAACCAGGACGAAACATGACTTAATTTCAAAGGATGTTTTAATTTGAGGGGGGAAAATGGTGGCTAATAAAGATTATTCCTGGTGTATTTCATCATTTCCCCCCTCCCATTTATTAAGCATTAAACGTTATAATTCGGACATAGATTTGAAGCCTGAATTTTTTTATTTTTTTTAACTAGGAATGGTACCAGAAGGCTATAGGAAAGAGAAGACTTATTTAATTATACATTTTTTAACAGTGGCTAGAATTGTATTTGCCCAAAACTGGAAGAGTGATAAGATACCAATAGAAGAGAAAATAATTGAAAAAAAATATTTGAATGTGCAGGAATGAATAGATTGACACTAGAAATTAAAGAAAAAGAAGAATCTGAATATTATATGGGATTTGTTTTACCAATGGATAGAAAATAGAACAAACTAAAAGGGATTAGAAGTATCTATAAAGTAATAAGAGGAATTAATGCAATGGATATACTGTATTTCATTTATATTATGTATATAGGAATGTGATTATTGTTATGTTGTTAAGACGAATAAGAATAATATTATTAATAACGGACAAGTAATTTGAAATATGCACCTAATTGATGCACGATTGAAATGGAATGGATTTTTTGTATATAAAAATAATATATATATATATATATATATAAAAAAAAATGTGATAATTCAGATTTCACTCCGGCAGGGCTCCCAAAACAAACTTCAATGTTAGTCCTCGAGTTACGACTACAATTGAGCATAAGATTTCTGTTGTTCAGTGAGACAGTGAGTGAGTTTTGCCTCGTTTTACGACCTACCTTGCCACATTTATTAAGTGAGTCACTGCAGTTAAATGAGTCACCCAGTTGTTAAGTAAATAGTCAGAAGGTTGCAAAATGGGACCACCCCCCCGGGACGCTGCCACCGTCATAAATACGAGTCAGTGGCCATGCGGCTGAATTTTGAGATGCTGCAATGGTCGTACGTGGTGGAAACCAGGTCCCTAAGTCACCTTTTCTTTGGTGCCGTCGTAACTTTAGGACGGTCACTAAATGAAACATTGTAAGTTGAGGACGACCCATAATTCCTCTCTTCAAGCAGAGACGGGTGGATTTCTAATCGGTCCGATTTTCTGCTTGACCCTTGGAGCAGGCACAGCACGAAAGGAAAGCAGAAACGTTACGATAGACCTTCTCCTCTGATTTAACAGATGAACAGAGTTGGAAGGGGCCTCGTAGGTCATCTAGTCCAACCCCCTCCATTTAAAGGAGACCCTT